CATAAAAGTGTCGGTTGCCGCTCATTTTATTATAGTATAAAACTATTCTGTTGCAGAAATGTATCAACGAGAAGTGGTGTCGTTGTTCTTTTTTTGTAATAATATGTTGATATTAGTTTAGTATGGAACTATCTCGTTGCATAAACGTGTTGACAGAGCGGCATTGCCTCTCATTTTTAGTAATAGGTTGATATTAATTTAGTATAGAACTATTCTATTACATAAATATGTCAATATTAGTTTAGAATGAAACTATCATGTTGCATAAATCTATTGACTGAGAGCGGAGTTGCCGCTCTTTTTTAATAATATGTTGATATTAATTTAGTATGAAACTATCTTGTTGTTTCATAAATATGTCAACGTATTAGGAAGATTCTAAAGTCCCACATTGGTTGGAGATAGAGCATTGAAATAGTTTATATAGAGTGGCACCCCTCACCTTACCAATCGGTTTTGTGAGGCCAAACTCTAATATGGTATCTCTCACATTGGTTGGAGATAGATAATTGAAATAGTTTATATAGAGTGGCACCCCTCACCTTACCAACCAGTTTTGTAGGATAGTGTTAGACCAAACTCTAATACAACGGAAACGGTTTTGTAGGTTGTTTTTATACATATTAACTTTAATATGTTGTAGTAATGTCTTCAGACTAATTTAATACTTAAAAAATATCTTTAGATCAATTTAACAATGTAAATGTCAACTTAAAATTAGCTAATAATCTAAAGAGTAGAATGTGAAAATTAAAAATTATCAATAAATTAAATGTTACAAAAAATAATATTGTTTACATAATTAAAAAAAATAAAAGTAAGAAGACAATCAATGTATATTGTTTAATGTCTTAAAATTTTAATAATATCACAATGTAGAAATCATATAAATTATAAATGGATATAAAATAACAAAAATAAAATATTCACATTTTACAATAAAGAACATTAATAGTTTTACTATTATTTTTCATGCTCGATCTTCTTTTCAATAAAAAAAACATATTTAGAAAAGAAAATAATGTGGTAGGTGTTATTTATTTTTGTAACTTACTCATTTCTTATAACTTATATGTGGATGTTGCCACTAATATATGTTTCCCCTCTCTCTCTCTCTCTTTCTCACTTTCTCTTCGTCTCTTTCTAACTCTTTTTTTATATCATTCATCAGTCTCTCTACCTCTCTATATATATATCCCAATCTCATTTGCACATGGCATTTATTTGTTCCTCTTTCTTTGTTTTGTTAAGTAGCTAATAACTGGTTATCATTAAACAAAAAATCATGATGAAAACATAAACACTAATACATTCAATCTTTAAACGATATTCAACCCTTAATATCACTCATAGTCTTAGACTTGACATTATACAAAAAGAAAACTCTAAAGCCTATATTTACCATTACTGTAATTTTATTTGTGAATGTGTGAGTCTTATAGATGACAAGATTAGAGATTAATCTCAATAACAACCTACACAATATAATTAAGTATCATATATTTTTTTGGATATTTTAAAAATGATCAATTATTTTTTGATGCATTGGTAAAATATATATCAATGACGGTATAGTAAATGACTTGATAATTGGTAAAATATACAGTGATATACGATGGTTTGTAACAACTTTAACTTTCTACAAAACCTTTTTTTTATATTTATACTGTAGGTAATCACAAAGACATATTGACAGTATACACAATTCACACAATTCAAAGATTCAATAATAATGGAAAGAAAGACAAAATTGCATGTGAAAGAGAATTTGGATGAAATTAACAATTCACGAGAGAGAGAAAAATAACTTGCAAGTGAAAGAGAGATAATTGTTTAGGAAGTTAAAGATAAAGATGATAAAAAATTGTTAAAGTTTTAAATTGAGAATGAAACAATTATTATTTACTAAATTTATTTTGTATATGTGGTTGATTTTAAAATAACAGTTAAAGGTCAAATATCTAACAAATATAGGTTAGTCCAAAATGTTATATTGTCTTTATCTATAGGTATAGATAAGTATAGATTAATGTTTACGTCACATTGTAGAAATTATACAATTTAAAAATTGAGATATTGTTTATATTTTAAAATTTTTGCAAATTATACAGGTAAAATTGAAACAATAATAGATAAAGATTTAAGAGAGGAAACCAAAATTTAAAAAATTTAATAAAAATAGTCATTGTAATTTGATCTAGAAATTAGAACACACTTTTTTTTCTTTCGTAAGAGATAATGATTCATTTTTTTTCTACAATAGAGAGAAAAATTAAAGTATTAGACATTAAAAAAATTCAATAATCTCAATTTTCAAACCTCAATTTCACATATAAATTTGTTTATGTAAAAAGAACAAAATAGTAAATAAAAATAAATGAAAAATCAAATCAAAAAATTAGATTGAAGAATCTAAATGCCCTAATAATTAACTCTAACAGAAATCATTGTGTGATTCACGATCCATATTATGACATCTGCAAATTGTAGATTTCTCTTTTTTACCACCATCATGAACATTGTCTGAATTTCAATTTTTCTCATGCAGTCTTTCTTCTTCTCTATTTTTTACTTCTATGGACCCAATCAGTTAGAAATGAAAGACGTAACTTACAAGAAGAAGTTATTTAAATATAGTTTTTAATTAGAAGTTAAAGTGAGTTTTCTTTTCAAATAAATAATTACTTTGTACAATATTCAAATATAAAATAGAGGGAGTAGTTAATTTTTATTTGTGTAACTTCTAAGTAGTTTTAAAGGGTAAAAGAAGAAAGAAAATAGGCTACACTAAAACAATGTATTGCCTTTATATATTGTTATAGATTAATATTATTATTTCAAACTCGATTGTTCATAAAAGCGTTTATAATATCTCTCATACTTAAATAAATTTATATTTTAAAGACATATTTTTCATTAAATTAATTTTGTGTAAAAATAAATATTATTTTTTATATCTGAATTGATGACATATAATCGATACTTGAAAAAATTGTCTTTTTTCTTAAATAATTAGTGACAACATTATCTATAAAACGTAATTATTTTAAAGATTTTTATTAAAACATAATGGTTAATAAAAATATAAATTTACTAATATAGATTTTTATTTTTAAAAAAATTTAATTATATATATATATATATATATATATATATATATATATATATATATATATATATATATATATATATATATATATATATATATATATATATATATATATATATATATATATATATATATATATATATATATATATATATATATATATATATATATATATATATATATATATATATATATATATATATATATATATATATATATATATATATATATATATATATATATATATATATATATATATATATATATATATATATATATATATATATATATATATATATATATATATATATATATATATATATATATAAATTGATTATTTCAAATTTCTGTGTTTATATTAAATTATATCTAAAAGACAAAAAAAATTAAATTAATTTTTGGGATTAAATATATGTTTTATTTCATTTTTGTTTAGTTTTTTTAACAAATTTTATAACAATCATAAATGGGTTAATTAATTATTTTAAAATATTATAAATAAATTATTTAATTGATTTAAAGTATAATAAATATAAATAGTTTGAAAGAGAAAGAAATCATGGAAATAACAAAAATGATTAGAAAAAAAATTAGGTTGTATTGAATGCATTCAATTTTTGTTTAAATAAAATGTCAATTTATATTTAATATGTTACTCAAATACTATATATTTAATTAATACACTCAATTTATCTTTGAATAAAATGTCAGTATTAAATACATTTGTATCTAAATGATGATTTAGTAAGTCCTATCAAGTTCTTGAATTATTTTTTCTCAATTAATTCTTTCTATTAAAGGACTATTAATCAAAGTTATAACGAAATGAAAATTCAGAGTTTTTATTTTCAAAATGATAATTCAAAGTTATAACCAAATGATAATTCAAAGTTATAATCAAATTTAAACTTTAATAAAATATTATTTTAATTCATTATAAATAATAAAATTGAATGTATAAATATGATTTGGACGTAGGACTATTTAAATCAAATTATATATCAGTTTCTTACCAACAAAACAAAACCTTTTATCCAATGTTATTGTTATTAGGCTTGATCTCAAAATCCATTACAATTAAGTTTTTATCATTAATAGTATTTTAGAATTTTTTAATGCACCTTAAATATTTTTAGTTATAATGTGAAATTATTTAAATGGTTTTAATTTTTAGAGATATATCTTCAAAAACACATTTTTTTTTTAAAAATAAACGTTGAAATATTTTGAAGATGCATCTCCGAAACAATTTTGAAACATTCATTGCATACCATTCAGAAATCATTTACATTTAAATTGTATTGGATATGCATCTCCGTGAATATTCCAGAGATACATCTCTGAAATGTATCAGAACAGGTATTTCATATTATAAATTGTTTATCTGTGTTCATATGAAGTATGTCGCACATGCTTAAACTCACGCGCTCTAGAGAAAGACTCTCCACCTTCTCTCTAGAACTTACCGTGCTTACCTATCTTATCCTTTAGGGTTAAGATTTCCCTCCTATATCTACTCTCTGGTTTCGTCCACCCATCTTTGGGTTACCCTCTTCGATTTCTTTTGGAGTTTTTTCCTACATTCTCATTTCCTCCAACGGGTGTTCTAGGGGGGTTTCATCGTTCTCTTGCTGGAAATTTATGTATCTTCGTTTAGGGTCGTGCTTGTGGTGGCGAACTGTGAGTCTATTGTTCTCTCTAGTGTGGTGCTTGCTTTGTTTGGGAGTTGGCTGTGATGGAGAATTGGAAAAACATCTAGTTGTCCAAGGAGGAAGAATAAGGGATTACTGCGGAGGTTGAAGAGATTTGCGAAACATAGGTCTTCTAAAGGACAGTTGCTGGGAAACTTTGGGCAGCCAATAGTTTCAACTCGAGATATTTTTCAAGTACTATGTTGAGTGCGTGGAAGTTAAAGAATCTGGTGGAAGTCCATGAGCTAAGCAAGAACTTGTTTCTATTCTGTTTCGCAACAAAGAGAGATCTCGAAGGATTTCTAAATAATGGCCCATGGAGTTTTGATTGGAACTTACTTGTCTTAAGCAGGGTGTCCAGTGATGAGTAATCGTCGGACCTTAACATGCACTTTGGCGTCTTCTGGGTTCGTGTTTATGAACTTCTGCTACTTCTCATATTTGTAGCTATGGCAAAGAAACTTGGGGGTGTCTTAGGGAAATTTGAGGAGCTAGATTCCAAAGAGGCCCATAGAAATGGAAGGTTCTTAAGGATAAAAGTAAACATCGATTTGAAGAAACCGTTGAAAATAGGGACAATGGTGAGGTTCAAAGAGAAGATCTTGCGGGTCCATTTCAAATACGAGTGCCTCCCAACTTTCTGCTTCATATGCGAGAGAGTTGGTCATCAATTAAAAGACTGTAAACCAGTGGGGGATCTTAGTAAGGAGGGTTTCGAGGTTTTGGAGGAACAAGACTTGGCTTTTGGGGCGTGTTTGCGAGCATCGCCACTCCCAAGAATCCAAGAAGATCATAGGAAGAAGGAATTTAATTCCAGTTTGTGTAGGAAAAGTCTCTTTAATCTACTTCAGGACAAAGCCGTTGTGAGGTTAAGGGGAAAGGGAAGGAAGGTGAAGAAGGCGAAGTTGATCAAAGAGAGGAAATTGGGCCGAGGACTCAAGGAAAAGAGACCACATAACCTGTTGGGAAAAACACGAGTAGGACGACTCTAGAGATTGAATCTATGGTTGAATCTTTGGGATCAGTGGAAATTTCAAAAGTGGAGAACCCTACAAAAATCACAACAATTGAAGGCAATAGTAAAAGGAGTGTTAAGAAATGTGGTTGGGCCTAACTCAACCCTATAAAACCGGTTGGTAGAGTGGGGATTGCCCCCACTTATAAACACATGTTCATGCCATATATTGTCTGATGTGGGACTCTTAACACACCCCCTCATGCTCAAGACTGGACAGCTGAAGCATGGAAATAAATGGTGGATGGCCCGATAGCAAAAACCATAGAAGGTGGCCCATCGGATCTTAAACCAGGCTCTGATACCATGTTAAGAAATGTGGTTGGGCCTAACTCAACGCTACAAAACCGGTTGGTAGAGTGAGGATTTCCCCCACTTATAAACACATGTTCATGCCATATATTGTTCGGTGTGGGACTCTTAACAAGGAGGAAGTGGACACGAAAGCAACCAACTTGAAAAGGGAATTCTAATAAGAATAAGAAGGCGGAGGTTGAATGTGGCAAAAGGAATTTATACGATGTGATGATTGTTGATAGAACGATTAAAGAGGATGGCTACGGCGAGAAGAAATTGAAGGAATATGAAACAGCAACGAAAGGTAACTATTTTGTACCAGAGATGGTGTTGGATGTCCAACACTGCCTAGAACAATGAAAATGTTAAGCTGGAACTGCAGGGAGTTAGGGGATCCCCGTGCAGTTCGAGCCTTGCTAAGGCTCATTCGTAATGAAAATCCAAATTTGGTGTTTGTGATGGAATCCCATCTAAAACATGAAGAGGTATTAAAAGTTAAGTTGAAGTCTGGGTTTGATGGATTTTTAGTTGTTGATTGTGTTGGTAGTGGTCGTGATCGTGTTGGAGGGTTCTGCCTTCTTTGGAACGAGAGTTTGCAGGTGACTATCATCTCTTTCTCTCAAAATCATATTGGTGGTTCCATTGTGGATGATCAAAATAACTGCCTTTGGGTCTTCTTTGGTATATATGGTTTCCCTAAAGATCACAATAAAAAGCATATGTGGTCTCTTATTAATGATCTTGTTAAAAGTGGTGGTGACAAAGTATTGTGTCTGGGAGATTTCAATGACGTAATAGCTGAGAAGGAGAAAAGGGGGGGGGGGGGGTATTACTAGAACTACTAGCCAGATATCCCATGGGAGACACACGATGGGGATTTGCGGTCTTGTTGATTTAGGCTTCAAAGGATATCCCTTCACCTGGTCTAACGAGAGAGCGGATGGAGAGAATATTCAATGTCGCCTTGATCACCCTTTAGCCACAAATAGCTTTATCAACAGATTTAACCCTATCAAGGTCTGTCACTTACCTCATTATGGGTCTGATCATGTTGTCATTAGAATTAACCTCGAGGTTACCGCTGTGAAAAGAGCTAGGAAAAGGGTCCATTTGTTCATATTTAAGGAGGCTTGAAGCACTAGGGGTCAATGTCAAGGAGACCCCCTCTCACCCTATTTATTTGTTCTTTGTGCATATGCTCTCTCGAGTTTAATCAAGCAGGAATTAGAAAACAAGAAGCTACATGGGCTGAAGATAGCGAGAAACTCCTCAATTATTCCCCACATGTTTTTCGTAGATGAGAGCCTGTTCTTTGGTCGTGCAAACAAGGATGAAGCTGATAGAATTTTAGAGGTGCTCAAGACATATCAAATGGCTTCTGGACAGGTTGTGAAACTCGAGAAATCTGAAGTCTCGTTTAGTCAAAATGTGCGTGATGAGGAAAAAGAGATGATTCGGATAAGGATGGATGTAAAGACACTCACGAGTCATTCTAGATACTTGGGATTACCTGTAATCTTTGGGAGATCGAAGAAGGAGGTTTTTTCCTTGGTTGTGGAATGAGTGTGGAAGAAAATAAAAGGTCAGAAGGAGAGGTTCATGTCTCGCGCAGGAAAGGAGGTGCTCATAAAAGTTGTTGCTCAAGCGATCGAAAGCTATATCATGAGTTGTTATAAACTCTTGGAGTCTATTTGCAAGGAAATTAAGAGCCTCATTGCGAATTTCTGGTCGGGGTCAAAAAATGGGGAGCACAAGTTACATTGGCTTAGCTGGAGCAAACTGGCTAGGGCCAAAAGGGATGGTGGAATGGGATTTAGAGGAATAATTGAGTTCAATACTAGCCTTTTAGGGAAACAGTATTGAAGGCTTATCTCAAATAGGGAGTCTTTAGTTGGTAAAGTGTTTAAGGGCATATACTATCTGAGGAGTGATGTTGATAGTTTTCCTACAGGTTTTAATCCAAGTTACTCTTGGAGGAGTATCATGTCTGCAAGACCCCTTGTTCAGGCTGGTTCCTGGTGGAGGTTCGGCAACGGTGCTTCGATTAAGGTCTTCAAGGATAGATGGATTCCTGGAAATCCAGGTTTCAAAACCTGTGGGTGCAGTGGATCCTTGGATAATGAGACAGTTGTTAAAGACCTTATTGATGGTGATCTTGGATGCTAGAATTGGGAGTTGATTGTTGCGAATTTGGGCCAGATGGATGCTTCGAATATAGCAGGTATCCCTCTTTCTCAGTGCTCTATTGAGGATAAGATTATATGGCATTATGAGAAGAACAGAGAGTATTCATCCCGCTCAGCCTATCATCAGTGTATGCACGCAAATACAAGTCTGATCCCCGACCCTTCTTTTCCCTCCCACCAAGTTCTACGGAAATCCATTTGGAAAAGCCCATTAATGACAGAGTCAAAAACTTCTTGTAGAGGTTAGCTAAAGATATCCTCCCCACCCGTATCAACCTTAGGAAGCAAGGTATGATGCATGATACACTATGTCATATTTTTAATAATGCTGAGGATACTAGTGTACATATTTTCCTTGATTATGACCTTGCTAGACAAGTGTTTTTCTCATCCGTTTTTGGTTTTAGAATTCCTCACGATATTGATGTTTGTTTATGGCTGGAGCTAATGCTTTCGAATGAGGAATTGTTTATGTCTCAAATGTTAGGTACTCTCACCCATAAAATCTGGCAATCTAGGAATGCTCTGCTGTTTCAGAAAAAGGCTTTTTATCCAATCAAATTGCGGAGGATGTGTTAAAGCTTGTTATCGAGTTTAATGAAAGGAATCCTGGATTTGTCTCTAAAAAGAAAAACTTAGTTCTTCTAGTGGAGTTGGATAAGAAGGTCACGACCATTCAGGGGGACGTTGGGGTTTATGTGGAATGAGTGATTAATTTTGGATGCCTGTTGAAAGATGTTGAAGGAAATACTCTGTGGTCTGCGTGTATAGTTGAGAATTCCAATGTGGTTCCTTTTGTTGCTGAAAGTTTAGCCATAAAATGGTGTCTACGGTTGGCAAAAACCCTGTGCATTGATGAAGTTATGGTGCAGTCTGATGCTCTAGTAGTTGTGGATTGTATCAATGTTGTCTTAGATGATGTTGTGATGGAACCAATTGCAGGAAACTGTAGGGAACTACTTTGTAGTTTTAAATGTGCTTCTGTTATGTTTATTAGTAGAGATTTTAATGGGGATGCCCATAATTTAACAAAACTTGGTAAGTCACTTAGGGCCAGATCTTGGATGGGGCCTAGCCCACAACTGGTGTCCCAATCTGTTGTACCTTTTTCTCTTTATTGAAACTTAAGTTCCCATAAAACAAGTATGCTGCACAATCGAAAATAAATAAATAAAATAGACGTACATATTTTTAGATGGACCATAGTACTACAACTATATAATAAGAGACTTGTATGTGTCTGACAACCTCTCATTTGCCTCGTCTACCTTCTAGGTCATCAATCCCCCCCTGTCCTTCGACAATGTCTCTGGTATAAGAATGCCCATTATGCCTCTGTCATGATGGCATCTAGGACTTACCTGACATCAGACCCATCAGGGAAGATACCTGATTAAACGTATGCATACGCAATCTCTATTATGCGATAACACATAGGAAAGACATCATCAGTATGATCTAGTTATGCCTATTCATCCTCTAGTATCTCTAGATGAGTTGGTCTCGATGGATCTCCTGGAGCAGCATGCACCATGTACGGATGTGCCACCCTGAAGAACCATCTGATGTACCCTTTGACATAGCTCTAGTCGCTCTCAGCTATGGTAGCTCGTGCCTCCTCAAGTACCAAATGACTCTCACAATCATCAAACATCTCATCTATCTGTCTACGTATCAAGGAAGAAGGAGCAAAGATAGTAGATTATTTTGGAATGGTTTGAGTGTAGCTGAACTGCCGCATGACGCACTCGGAAAGATGAGGAGCAAGGAAACCAATTCGCAGGCCAACCATCTAGAGTATATCATTATCTCGTCAAATGGTTGCGTCTGGCGGTGATCAACATAATTGTTAAAGTGCATGTCCTCAGCAACCAAACGGTCAAGATAGACTTTGAAAGGCTCGACCGCCTGGTTCCCTTTGAGTAGGATAAAAGCAGTAGTACACGACAAGTCCTCAGTGTACTCAGGCACACTCGCCCGACCTGAGATGCACGTGAAGTGCTAGAGGATCCATGCCTGAAATAAAAAGTTTGGAACAGACGAGTCATCGGTAATGGTTTTGTAAATATGAAATGAAAATAAAAATAAAATATTCAAATACCAATATTATTATCGTCAGTAGTGTCACGCTGTATGTGACCTACTTCATCTTCCACATACAGCTCTCTCTCAACTTTGAATACAGGTAGACCAAGCAAGTTTCCCCTAGTTATACTCATGGACCCGCTTGAGATCCAAGAAGTACCATAGGTAGACGAATTCTGTATAGGTGGCACTCTTGTACATAAAAATCGTAGTGCCAACCAAATAAAGCAGGTATGTTCTTAATGCATGCGATATGTGGAGTGTCGCCTACTCAGCATCACCATTAGCCTCCTGTTCTCTAAGGATCTCATCATCATATATCATTTTAAGGAATTTAAAAGCTCCTCCCCTGATCTAGGAATCTCACCCTTGATCAGAAGATGTAGCAAACACGAGACATCGTCGAGTG